CGAACGTGAATTTATTGGAAATTTATAAGGTCACTAGATATATATAGATGACTGCTAAAAACATCTCGTTTATATATTTCATTATTTTGTCAAATAAAAAAAAAAAAAAAAACAATCAAAAATTGAACATTTCTATATAAATCAGATTTCTCGTTTGGCAAAATATTAAAATGTTTCAAATTCATTCAATATTTGTATATTAAAAATCAAAATATTATTCAAAAGTGAATTAATTTTAATGAAATTTAATTGAAAATATTAGTGATAATGACGTGTTTTCTTTTTGTCATAATTCATGAGAGTAGAACTGTATCTTCAACGTGTTATCACGTGATGACACGTTATCACTGATCATTAAAATATTATTTAAGTCTTTTTTTCCCCTTCTTCTTTTTCTTTTTCTAGAGAGATGGAAGAGAGGATAAAAGGTATAAAGATCTAAATGGTATTGAAGAAAGTAACCATCGAAATGAAGTTTACTAAAACTGTTTGTTTATTTATACTTTACTACTAAAAAAGAAAGTATTCGTAAAGCTTACAAATTGAAAGAAAAAATCGAACAAGTCAAGTCAACAAAAATTCTTAATTATTTATCAAATGAACAATTGTTTTATTAAATAAACAATACGATATTTAGATTTGATTTGAAACAAACAAATCAAACGATGTTTCATATGATTTAAAACAAATTTTTCTTCCTATTTTCTTTTTTTTTTTTTAATTCCTTATTAAAATACAAAACATTTTATTATCAAATGATAATTCAAAGGCCCGTTTATTTTTTATTTCGTGAAAAGAACGTTTTAAATAAAATAAAAAAAAAACCGATATAAAAGAAAAGAAAAGAGAGAAAGAGAGAGAGAAAGAGAGAGAGAGAGAGAGAGAGAGATAATCGGTAAACAAAGGAATAATTACTGACGAGTAAAACGAAAGCGTTTTGCAAGCAACCCTTGCAAAATTAACCCTTAGAAGTGTTCCATCTGGCGGTGTATCGGTGTACTATCAAAGCATGGAGCGATTCGCAGGCGTGGACGGAGTCAGTTTTGCCCCTTCTGTCCGTAAGGCAGGTCGAAAGGGGGAGAAAAAGAGTGTAGTTAAATAGTTTAGTGTTCCTACCGGCTGAAATTTGCACATATAGTTTGTGTTACATAGAAAGGATGAACTAGTTTAACTAGTAATAATACTTTAGTAGTAGTAGTAGTAGATAGTCAAAAAGAAGGGTGTGATCCATTTTTAGGGGTGGGGGGTGGACAAAGAAAAAGATATAGAACAAGGAGGGAGGAACCATAGGGAAAAACCATAGGGAAAATATCCTTAGGGGATATATATGTATATTTGAAGTGAAGACAAACAGGGGTATGTTTCAATCCTTTCTTCTTATTATTATTATTGTTATTGTTATTATTATTATTATTATTTCATTATAAATATTTAGATATTTTTGATTTTTTGTCCTTTTTATATTTTTCTTCCTTTACTTTTTTTTTCTATCTGTCAAAATACAAGTTTAATTTTATTTATATTGTATTTCTTTTCTCACTTCTTGTTCTTCTTCTTCTTCTTCTTCTTCTTTTTTTTTCTTTTTCTTTGTTTTTGCTTTCCGTCATTTGATTTTATATTCTAGATTCAATTATTAATTCATTTTTATACTATTATATTGAGTTATTTCTTGCAACCATACTTTTAACACGCAGATGCAATTGCGCACGTCTCGAAGGACGCGCGAGCACAAAGTAGAAGTATAACAGTATATACGTATATGTGATGATGACATGAAGTACAAGGTTGCACGTGTCGTTACTAGCTGTGCCCTATCTTTGATACTCACTATCGATGAGGATAAAAATCTTTTTGCAAAAATATACCAAAATACAAATACCCCAGTCAAAAAAAAAAAAAGAGATGATAAAGATTGAACAAAATAATATTACAATTACTATTATCTTTTATTATTTCCTGTTACACCGTGTTTTCCAAGGTTTTTTTTTTTTACATGCGTGGCAATTTACGTGATGAATTATCTGTATTTTTTTTTTTTATAAAATATAATGCGTCATTTTTTACGTATCGATATTCAAATTTTTAATCGTTTGGTTCAAACAACGTTTTGCACAAAGAAGGATAAAATTCGACAAAAAGAAATCCTAAAAGAAATTATAGATTCATTGCCAATATCTGCTGCTTACATGTACGTGCGTGTGTGTACACACACACACACACACATATATATATATATATAGTTGTGTACGTTTTATGGCGCACGCTTCAATACGTTAGGACGAAGTGCAACCTGTTAAACTTATGATAGTTATATATATTTGTACATATATATATATATATATATATATATATATATATATGTATGCATATACGTATACGTATACATCATATCTACATATATGTATATAACTGTATTATTTTTTTTTTTATTGTAGAAATAAATGTAAAAATACCATCAATTTTAAACACAGTAAAGAAGGTTGCACGAATACGTTTTTGCATACGTAAGAGATAAGATAAATATGGATAGAAATCGCGTTATGCAGTTTTGTCCTTGAATATTAAAATAGTTTCTTTGAAA